ATTAATTAAGTCCCGATTTGTTCATTCTGCATCTTGATAAAATGAATAGATTGGCTTATCAGAGAAGGATTAAGAGGCACTTGTTCAGATTTAGCTAAAGCCAGCCTCGGAGTTTATGGATCCCCTTTGATCAAAGCAGTGAAAGGCGAGAACATGCAGTGGATTTCTCCAGCAGGATTCATTCCCCACCCCCCAGCTGGAAGAGAAGATCCACCCCCAACCCTCAGTATCCCACTCACGCAGAACACCTTGCCTCTCCCACGTTCCACATTAGCATGATGAGAAGCGCTGTGATATCTGGAGCCGGCAGTGACAATATCAAGTATTATTTCATTGGACTTACACATAGCATGTTAATTTTTTCCTTGTGTGGTTTTTCTATAATGAGTGCCAACTTGAGGGAGCTGATCATAGGAATGTGAACAAACACACACACGCGCACACACATATTTAGGTTGCCTGATCGATCTTCCTCCTTTTGTGAGATTTATGTGTTTCAGCAGCAAGACCAAATCCCTCAGGAACTGGCTCCACCGTGGAATAAAGCTCACTCTTTCTTACAATTACTGTACTTGGGCAGATTTGGGCAGATATAAACACCCGTCTTAAAAAATGGTTCTTTTGCAAAAAGCATTAAAATGAATCCTGTGTGATGTTTTACCAACTGCAGTAGTAAGACTTTGCTTTACTAACCAATCCACACAGTACATTTGTTAAAGATATCATTTAAAGAAAATTAGCGCTTAGTGTTTTCTTCTTTTGTTTAGCTTCGTGGCTCGATAAAAAGGAAGGTCTGTCATTTCCTTTTGAATTTAAGTGAGGTCCAACAAATGTTTTAAATGTGGGTTTTTCATCATCTCTGAGCTCTACTGTGATTTCAATTAGTGTCATATGTTTATGCATCTACACACATTCATTCAGGAGCTTTGCTCTCATGTATAACACCCACTCATTTGAATTTTCATTTTACCCCCATTCTCCTTCTTTGTTCTCTATAAAACTTATTGGCTGTTGTTTTGCATCCTGTCATTCTGCTTCTCCTGCTGCCCATCTTCCCCGCTACCTTTTTCTCTCCTCCTTCTTCTTCTTGCCTCTGCCTGTGCTCGCTCCATCTCTTTCTTTTGTTTCATGCTCACTCTGTCTTTCTCCCTCTCTTTCTTTTTCTCCCCCACAACACCCCCAACCACCCCAGAGACCAAGCTTGTTTACTCTGTCTTTTCCACATCTCGGCTCTGTGCAGCTGTGACGGTAATCTTTCTTTCAAATATTTGTTTCTTCCATCTCCAGATTCCCCTCCCCCCCCCTTTTCGTGCTGCCACTGATGCACACCTCGTTCCATCCCTGAAATCTTAACTGTGCTTTGTCCATCTTGGCTCTTGGGGACTTCAAGGCTTTAAGACGTAGCAGGGAAGCCGGGCAAGACGTAATTTTGCTCCTGAGGAATTCAATCAGCTTGCATGCTGTATGCTTGTGTTTTGGCAGTCTTTCCGCTGCTAACCAGTTAGCAATGCCTGTCACCACCACTGAGCTCTATATAGCCAAAAAGCTCTAGATGATGATGGATTGCTATAAAACGATGGCAGCCTCGGAAAGTAATTACCAACTTTGCCTGCGGTGGAAATTCAGCTGATAAGCGCCTTTCCAGGGAAGTCCAGGTATTGCCAAAGCAAACAGGTGAGACACATTGAAGGTCAGAACAGAAGTGATACAGACAGAAACAACACAGCGACACGCACGGTCATACACGCGCAAGCACACACCAGCTGAGCCCCATGCTAACGAACGCTCTTGACAGTAAAGTCTAGAAAGCATGCAGAAATTTTCCTAAGAAGAGTGCCCTTTCTGCACATGTGCAGACACACTGAATAAATGACAGACGAGCCAGTTCAGTGATGCAACAGAATGCATGCCAAAGATTTAAAGGCTGAATATCCATGGGAGAACATTTTATTATGGGTTTCTGATAATCCATTAGTGAGATCTTGGATGCTTGACAGCATAGCTGGAAGCCATCCGATATAGAGTAAACATCAAGCAATGAGACTTCTAAGTGAGATTTCTTGCAAATCGGTTGATGCCCCACATGAGTCGGCCTGCACTGTATTGTAATGCACCGATCTGCACATGCGTCATATGTGCTGACCCCAAATGTGCGGTGAATCACATGGCCCGAGGAGATCATGTTCACCAGCCTAGCAGCTCCGAACTGCGATCTCTGCGCAACACATAAAAATCAATGGAGTCAACAAATGCGGCTCCTAATGCTCTTCCTGTGCGATAAGACAAAATTAGATTGGAGCCAGTGGCCTATAATGGTGAGGCCGGGCAGGTGAAGGGGAATTGGAAACGATGGCAGTTAAAAATCATTTCAGTGACCTGACTTCAGATCCATGGATCTGCTAGGACCCCACAGGCTGTGCCTAAAGCACTGAATAATTGTAATGACGGGCCACTGGTGTCTGAGATTATGACCTGAGAGAAAAAGTTCTATGGCCTTGAGCCCAGTGAAGTGGCAAAGTGTAATTTGTCAAATGAGTGATCACTGTGAACCACGTCTTTGTACGAAACATGATTTATACAGTTTTTAGAGATACATTTAACCTGAGGATGGGTGGAGGACAGACCGCGCTGCATAATGAACACATGGCTTTTAGACCACTGTGATCTGTTTGGCATTTGTGTAGCTGGTACAGTGGAGCTCATAGTGAATATTTTCTCTGCTATGAAGAATATCTCTACTTAAACTGTAAACTTTCTGTGGTGCACTCTAATGAAAGTCTGTACAGTAATAACAAGACCTAGTGATCTCTCTCTCTC